CATGCAGGAGACAGTTTTTGTTCGATTTTGGTTATTTTTCTGTAAAATATTAATGTGATAACCGTCTTCACCTCTAGTATACATCAATGGATATTTCAGTGCATCATAAGATCTATTCAATTCTGAAACTCGACTCAAGTGTCGACTCAAAACGTGATCGATATTTTCCATACTTTTCTTAAAATATTAAAACTATTATTAATTTCGGCAAATGTTTTTGGACGCACGTGTACTATTGATTAATGTTAATTAAATCTTTTGATGACCTGTTAGATATCAAACACTATACAAAGGTCAAGTTGCAGGTAGCTGTAAACCCGCGGCCCGCTTACAAAGCCGCTAACACGCGACTCTTCTACAATTGTTTTTAATTTTTTACGAACTTTTTTACTGACAAAAGTGGTACTAAAACGTTCAGCAGAGTGCCGGGTTTCAGCCAAAAAAAATTTCAGCCAAATCGGTTCAGTAGTTTTCTCGGTTAGCGCGGTCGAAGAAAAACTCTTACAATTTTATATATAGTATAGATAGATAGATAGATAGATAGATAGATAAATAATTTATTTTGTTCGATGCTTTTTGTAGCACATTGATCAGTATTCAATATTAAGTAGTATGTATAATACCTACATTTTATTAAATTTATCTAGATAAATGCAATATTTTTCACCCATTTTTGGTACAAATAAAAAATAAATATTACTAGAATAACTAATTTCTAAATCATTTTTGAAATAATGTTTGAATACGATATTTATAATATTTACTTTCTTTTTTCAAATTTTTTTAAAGGTACGATCATACATAAGCACGAGCCACCATTGGGAATTTTAAATCTAACCTTTTTTCCAATGTAATTTGAAATATTTTGAGGTGCATTGAAAGTATCAGTATTATTTAGCCCACTTTGTTCTGGTAAATTTCTAACAGTTGTTGTTGCCAAAATAGATACCTCATTATTTGGTACAGCATTGTCTTTGGATAGTGTTGTCTTTTTTGGTACAGATTCAAATAATTAAAAATATTGTTTTGAAATTTTTTAATCATTTTATAATAGTTAATAATCGTTCGAATAACTCGTATTACTGACAAGAAAATAGTAAATACTGACAGTGGCGTGGCGATATGGATAATCAAGAGGCGGCCGCCTCACAGTTTTTTGGGGGGTGGGTGGGCAAGGCTGTATCTTTTTCGGGAGGGGTCCAAAACATGTATATTGTAATTTTATTAAATTAAGATTTTAACTTTTGATATTTGGTTAAAAATAAGACAGAAAAAGATTTAATCTTCTTTTATTAAAATTAATATCTTATTTTCATATGATATGATATAAAATTTAAAGCAGTCAATGATTAATTGTAGCTTAAGTAATTTTTGACTGAAAATATTTATGTTGGTATTGAAATAAATAAGTATTTTAAACATTCGTAAAATATTGAAGAAATTTCTGGAGGGGGTCCAGATACCCTGATAATTTAGTGACGAATTCAAATCTGCTTTCAAAATTAATATCGGAACATTATATTGGGCGTAGTGATTGAAGTCGTGAGCTATGTTTTCGACCAAAAATGAATCATGCTCCAGCCCCCTTAACCTTATTATATTTTGTAAAGTGCGATAGTATTTTAGAGTTTTTTTTCAAATTTATATTTGATTTGGTTGACACTTCGGAGGGAGGGGTGTATAACCCCCTAATCCATCTCTGGATACGCCACTAAATTCTCGTAATCTCCTTATTAATATACTCATGACTGCAGTCATACAATTTTCCAGGTATTTGTTTTTTCTTTCCTGTTTGTTAGTTATTTGTTAGGCTCTAGTAGTCTATAGTCTATTATATTTCTATCATTTATCTTATCGATATAATAATTGTGTCTATATGCAGTACCGAATTACCTATTAGTATTATTATTATTATTAATATATATTAAGTTGTAGGTGTTGTATGCAATAATAAAAATAAATAATTTTGAAAAAAATAGAAATAATATAATAATTAATTAATTTTTTTCGCGAGTAAAAACATTTAACTAACACGATTTTATTTATTAATAAAAGTCGGTTATTATTAAAGCTGTTTATTTTAATTATTGGATAGTAATGTTACATACAGATGTTTGTAAAAAAATAATTTTATAGGGCCCAATATTTTAATTGCCTAGGGGCCCACAAATGTTTAATCCGTCACTGTTTATATGCTATACATATTTCTTTTAAAATTTTGTTTTTTGCTCTCTATGTACTGGCCCGCTGGATTTTAATTTTTAATAGTGTAAGTAAATTATGATAAAAATTAAAATTGTCACTATTTCACCTGTACACAAACGGGAACCAATTCGGCTATACCTAATAAAATACCTTTTTCAAACGGGAATCAATTCAGTTCCCCTACTAATGCTCCTTGTTTTCCTTAACAATTTATTTGTAACAGTTCTTTTGATTTACTGGTCTATATAGTACATTTTGGTTAAAAAATGTAACCATTGGTCATACAATTTGTAGTTCCCTACTACTTCTTACTACTATTAACCCTCTCGATACCCTAAATTAGGTTAGTAATCTAACGCCCACTCAACAACTACCCACCCATACCACCGCCCACCCATACAGTAATTCATCATATCCCAGCATTCTTACCCAACCACCATCTTACCATATATTAACCCAACCACAAGAACACAACACAGACACACACATACCCACAACCCTCACACGCTTATAACCCCACCCATCTACAACCCTATCATCCCATATTTCAGTATTATGTATAATGCGAATGAAATTTTGTCACACAATAGAAAAATGAAACAAAAAATTGTCAAAATTAATAACAATTTGAGTACCTACTTGCATAGTTACATAAGACCATTGATTGTAATTTATAACAGGGCTAGGATTTGTATGCAACAGCATGTTTTTTTTGTGACTTCTGCTTATTGATTTTTTTAATAATGACCACGAATCACCTCATGCTGAGATAAATGGTGTTAATTTTATTTTGCATGTTTTTGCATATTTTGGATAAAATTCATATTATTGTATTGAATAAAATGAATATTATTGTATATTTCGATTATAAGAATGCAAAAAATAAATGTTTTATAGCATATTTCATAATTAGTATTTATAAATTAATATTAATATTTCGTATTTAATTCTAGCCCCGCTGATTAAAGTATTAAAACTTGGTTTTTTGTTAAACATAAATTTTATTTTATTTCATTTCTCAATTATAATATATTAAGACAAACAGCGAACCACTAATGTATTTCAATAAATAAATATTTTTTTTTTGTAACTATATTTTTGTGTTTATCTTATAAAAATTTTAATGCATATTTTGGTAAATAAAATGCATATTTTATAATTTTTTATTGCATACAAATCAAATACAATACATATCATTGAGTAAAAATGACATTTTTAATCCATGACTAACTTTTTTTCCAAACATATGGAGGTTGTTTTATGCCAGCATGATAAGCACTATTTTTGGAAAATTGACAAAATCTCAATCCTTCACTCCATTTCCTAGATTGATTTTATAGATCGCTCGTTGTTTACTTTGAATTAACTTTTGCTTGTTCTACCTCTTTTATGAGTTCATTGTATCTTATATCACTAATTAGAGCACTACATTCACTTTTTGTAATTTCATTAAGTTTTAATTCAAATTTAGTTTTAAAATCAAACACACACGTTTCGTTAGCCATTGCTATAAACGAACTAATATAAGCTCACAAAAATACTAGTTCGTATAGTATCAGTACAATATTGTACCATTTAGATAAGGTGTATTTTGTGTACCTTTAATATAATGATTTGATAAAATAAAATAACAGCGATAAATTAACAAGATACGCGTGGTCATCTATAATCGTAATAAAATCGTATTTAATGTAAGCAAACATATTTAAGACCCTATGGTTTTGCCCTTACGATAAAAGTTGGTATACGGTTTTGGCAGTTTTGTCCAAATGAGCTTGGTCATAACTAGGTTTGCCCGGTCAAAAGCCGAAATATAACATTTTGCCCAAGGATTGTGGGCAGTTCGCGTTTTGCCGGACATTTCTGAGGTTTACTCGATTTCAGCTTTTGCCCGTAACATATATGTATAAGTATATAGTATTTAGATAAATAAAACTAATAAGAAATATTAACTTTTACTTTTTAGCTTATTTAATGGCATTTAAGTGCACTGATAATTTTTCAAAGATATTTCTTCTTTGTTTCGCTTCTAAGGTTTTTAGATTTTTTTTGCTAAATAATTTCACTGAATATTATTTAAATATTTTATGGAATATTGATTTTTCAATAAACAATTGAAAAATTAGGGTTAAGTTGGAATTACATAAAAGACAAGTTATTTAGTAAGGGTTTTGTGGTCATAAAATTTGGGAACTGATGATCCGTCTCCATTTAATGATTGTTGGAATTAATTGGGCATTTACCTTTCATAAGCGCTGTTGAATTCACCCATTATATTGGAATTCCCTTGATTGTTTAAATTTTGTAGTACAAATATTTAATTAAACAAGTATAGTTAAAAATTTAGCAATTTAACTGTTATTTTTATTTTGGTTAAAAAAATGATAAGTTTATCTAATTATTACTTTTTAGTTAAGGGAGTTTACATTTGGAAAAAGTAAAAGTTGCCGTTATTACCGACAGTAATAAAGACAATCTTATTATTTATATTCTGATAATTGAAGAAATTAATCTTACTAAGAATAAAACAATTTAGGGGGCCTATGAAAAACATAAATAGTTATATAGTTATAACATAAATAGTTACAGTCTGATGTACACTAATGTGGGGGAGGGGGTAAACAATTCTAAAAATGTACAAATTAATTACTTAAATGCTTCCTTACTACACAGAGTATTATAGATATAATGTACATAGATTGCACATAATAATATTTCATGAAGTTCTTTAAAACTTAATGAAAAGTTTCAAGTCTTACTATTCATTTTAAATTTTATAAATAAAACAATTTTAATGAAATTCAATTCTTTTTTTATTGATTAATTTGATAAATAATAATTATAAGTACATACTTATTAACTTTAGGAGAATGAAATATAAAATTATAATTTAATGTGCAACATAATACTTAGTTACAATTACAATAAATTTAGATGTAAATTTATAATTAGGTAGAATCTTATTAGGTCAGATTTACATAACCGAGTAATGAGTAACAATTTGGAGTATAATTGGAAACTGAGAATTAATAATTATTATCCTAATTTTTCAACAGATTCTTGAATATCATCAATGTGTTCTTTCAGTTTGTTCCATTGACCCATAGACAAAGATATGCCTAAAAACATAATAAAGTGTTAGTAAATAGAAAAATATTAAATTATAATTATAGTATAGAAACCCTTTTTTCCAGGCAGGAGTTCTCCATTTTTTTCATAAAATTCACGAATATCAACGAAGAGTTTACCACGAAATTCTCTCACTTTGACAAATCGATTTTTATCAAGAGACCAAGAATGTTCTTCTTCATTTGAATTGGTTTTTTTAGAACTTCCCTTATCAGCCGGTTTGGATTTTTTTGGAGGAGGGTTTCTCTAAAATAAAATTAAGTAATTAAAAAAATTATATTTGTAATTTATTATTTAAACAGGTATTTAATACAACTTATTACAAAATCATAATTTAATGTATTAAAATGATAAAATTAAAATAACAATTAGGGGTAGAGCAAAAATAATTAAGGCAGATAGTACTAACTCTAAAAAATTATTATGAATATTCCTAGAAAATATAAATTTAATTGGTATATAATGTAACTTTAAAATCAAAATCAGTAGTATTTTGAATACATATTTTTCAAAACATGTAAAATTGAACATAGTTGTTTGCCACCAAGTATAATTAATTTAATTTATACTTTTAATAAATATCTAAAAATACAAATTTGTACATTAATAATTGGATTTAATTAAATTACATTGATTCAAATTTGTGTTTTTGTAAGATTCATGTACAATATATTACATATGAATTAAAAAAATTAATCAATTTTTTAAAGAGTATGGGAAATAATTTTTTTCTTTTAATTAATTTTGACCCACATATTTAATCCCAATAGTAAATAAAACAAATTCTAAGTACTTTTTTGGACAAGATAGAAATTTAGTCTTCAAAATAATTATTTTAGTGAAACTTGTTTTGTGTTGTTTTGGAATTAATTTTGAATTTATATCATTATTAATATATACAACATATATGATGCAATCTTATGAAATGTAAATAAATATGGTATAAGATATACAAATAATTAAAAAATACATTTTAATTATTACTTAATATTAATAATTAATACTAACCTAACCCTATTATATATATATTTAGTACTAGTACATAAAATGTTCAGTTAACAAACTAGTCTTTTTACATAAATATAATTAACTTTGTAGGTTATAATACAGCAACAAAATTACACAATACTTTTATTTGAGTATCATGGGAAATATCTAATTTTTTTACCTTAGTAGATTATTTTATTACTCATAATTTTTTTTAAAAAAAGACATATTAAATATCAATATAATGATAAAGAGAAATACAGTTTGAAGAAATAAGTTTCTTTGATTTTGACCAATTTTCAGAAATTTATCAGGAACATAGTTAAAATTAAATTTATTTCTTTAGAGAAATTTTTTTTTTTTTATTAATTTATACTTTATAAGTAATTAAATTTATTATTAAACACAAGTTTTAAATAATTTTTAGAAATAACAGAACATTTTTTAACAAGTTTTCTGTAGAAATGTAACTGATGATGACTGTAATTGATGATTTTTAATCAGCAATTGGTTCAGTATGCTATGTTAACAGTCAAAATAAAATATGGACAGTTTAGTATATTTCTTTAAATAGTTGTTTATACTAAGAGTTATAAAATTAAATCTATGTACAATAAAATTGACGATATTTACAAAATGCCATATCAGTTGCAGCAGACTTAATTAGTAAGGCATTGTTTGAAGTTACAAGACCAGTTAAATTATAAGTTATATTAATTAATAAATATATATTTAGTTGAAATCTTTAGAATGTTTTTTAATAATCAAAATTAAAATAGGCATTGAAATTGAGTAAAAAATATTAAAAGGATACCAAAATGAGATATTTTAAATGGTTTTTCTTAGTAATTTACCAACTTGAAAAAATGTAATATTCATCATGATTCTAATGTATTCTACTTTGGATATGTTCCACTAATATATTTAGTACCTACTTCACAAATTAAGAGAGAGAACAACTTATTTTAAATATGCGATGTTAATTTTCAGAAGTGATTTAAAAGCATAATAATATAAATTTTAGATATTAAATATTTGAAAGCACATGCCTTCAACGAAATAACAAAAGGTTTAGAATAAACTAAAATGTATTTAGAATCATTTTTTGAGTAAATATTTGTGGTAACATATGGATCTAAAACAAAGATAAAAAAGGCCAGGAATTAAGAGTAAAATATACTTCGGGATAAGTTTCGAACACGTTAACACAAGTCAATATTTTATAAAAATCTAACATTTTCCTTCGACCACATTACCGCAGAACAAAAACTTACATCGTCAGGTCCCGAGTCGGAGGTAGAATCTTCTGAGGCACTACGTTTAGATTTGTTTGGTGGCATTATAAAAAAATACTAGGGTACTTAAAATCCTTGAACAACTGTTGGTCTCGGAGTTCGAAAAATAAATGAAACTAGTAACAAGTAAATTGAGAAAAACGGCAAATAAGTATTATTCACCGGGGTAATATCAAATAAAAACGGATTTTATTTCATTTTTCTTATCAAAATGCCATAACCTATAACACAAAATTTCCCCAGTGTGACCAGTAAAATAAAACGCAATGACGATTTATGTCATATTTCACCGGGCGAACGAGTCGAATGGGGTTTTTTGCTCGCTCGACGAATCGACCCTGTAGAATATGAAGATTTTGAGTTCGGCGCGCGCGTTTCCCGCGTACGACTTTAGTCACGCTCTCATTGTCCCGTCGTACTTGTTGACTTCCGTGAACGTTAACTTATTCTGAACGGCCGCGCCTAATTCAAAAATACGCAGACACACACATACACGTATATATATTATATACACATTTTACGCATGTTTATATAATATATATTGTCCTCAAAATCGGGAAGAACTCATTTTTAAGGTAAGATTTTCACGTCAGAACCGTTTAAGTATCAAGTTGGATATCAGGCTTAAAAATGTAAAAACTAGGTTTATTTTCATATAAACCACACTGATAGAAGTGGGAAAAAAATTTTATTACTTATAAACAATCACTATGCATTTCTGACGTCTATGGATCAGAGTCCTTATACGTACTTTGGTCTTTGGATTTTATTTATGGAGTATTAAAAATTATGTTGCTATATATAGGTTATATATTCTATATGTACACCATCACTTTTAACTAGGAAAACATTTTTAAATCTAGGACGTACATTTAAATTTTTAGGATTATTATTTTTTGAGTTGTGCTGAAAAAAAAATAAATGCTTTGTCGAAAACCGGTACCTATCCAGTAAATATTGCTGTTTATTTCAAATTATTCAACAATTTTTTAATTATATTGATAACTGCTGATGAATTAAAAAAAATTAGCACTTGAAAGTATAAATATAAATATTTGTATCAAAAAACATCCTTCCTTTTGATGATCAAACAAGTCCTCTGATTAAAATCCTGTAGATGGATAAAAAATAAAAAAACCACTGGTTAAATTAATACATTCCTTACTAGATTAAGAATCTAAAATTGTTAAACAGTTTGTGAGCTATAATTATATAACTATAATTATAGTATTCGAAGAGGTAAGATTATGTTCCCTTAATACATTGCTCATTCTATATTAAAGTCATCCTAACCAATTTTTTACACAGTTTAAATTGTTAAAATTACAATGAGTTTAATTTTTTCAATCTAATATTATAATTTCTATATTATTAATATAGTTAAATTATATTCAGTTCAAGAATAATTGCTTAAAAGTATTAATTATTAAATGATGTTGCTTTATTATTTTATTTGCAATCATCGGTTAAAATATTTTTTTATTTTTTATTTTTCGAAAAACAAAAGATCAAGAATAATTGTTCGAACCTTGTAGGAGTCTATTGACTACTCATTAAGAAACCTCGATAATGATGCGTATTTTTAAGAGTAGTAAATTCGTATTATTTTTTTGAACTGAGAACCTGTGCCCAATTAATTTAATTTAGAATTCTGTTAATTTTAGTTCATTACCCATCCAGATAAAAATAAATCATTTCAAACTTATTAAAATTATGATAAATATAAATTGATAAAATGTATAATTCGTACTGTGTTTTTAAATTAAAATTAAAAATGTTTTCTACTTATTTTAATAATAAAATAATAAAAAATTAAATTAAAATTAATAATTAGTAAATGATTAACATTCATAAATTAATACATAAATAAACAAATGGTTAATACATAGAAATAAATAAATAAATGCTTAGCTTGGAGTATTATTGTACTTGTAAAATATAACCGGTTTCCAATTAAAAATTCGTAGTCAACTATATAAAAAGTGGGCGGGTCCATTCATCCAAAAACGATATACCGTTTTCCTCCACAGTCCATTTTCCTCCGAAAAATAAAATAATAAAATCGTCATTCGTTGTCGAAGATAAATAAGAAATAGAAGAACAAATTAATTATTTTAAGTATAATTATAATAAAATAATACAACGTACGTGCCGAACTTGGCGGGTGGTTAAAAAGAGAATGAATATAATAAACAAGTACGCACGTCAATAAAAATGCATCAATCAATAAATAAAATAATAAAAAATAAGTTAATAATAAGTGGTTGGTGTTTTAATTCGACTTATACACTAAAAAATATTTAAAACTATCACGAATTATTAGACGTTTTCCTCTAGAACTGTCAATAAACGTCGCTTTTTGAGACATGTTAAAAATTAAAATTTGATAAATTTACAAAAACACATACTATAGACACTATTCGACGTACAGTAAACTACTAAAAATATAGTCTTATTGATACGAGTATATCGTATATTTGTACGTCTGTCTCACTCAATGTGTGTAATCATAATAATCAGTGATGAATTATGTTACATAATATAATAATATAAGTATATACCGTATGTTATATGTAGGTGCGTATCTTTATTAATTGTAATCAAAGTTACAATATTAAGTTATCGACTGTTATAAACTGCGAGTGCTGTTGGTCACTTAAACCAGTGTTTTTTCCTAGTCGATAAGAACGCCACCAGAATTTAATCAACAGATATGCACAAATGTGATCCTACAACACTGGCTAAAATATTGGAGCATAATAGACTTAATTTTAGTCAAAAATAATGTGGAGGAAAATGGAAACCAACCATTTTTTTTTTTTTTCGAGGAAAATGAACAGTAGAGGAAAACGGTATCTCGTCTTTGGAGAAAAATGGCTACGGCCTAAAAAGTCAATGAAATCGCGACTGAATATGAAAAAAATTAAGGAAGGTATACATTGAGAATAGTTAGTCGTTATACATAAAGATAATTTATTTTGATAGAAGAAATTATTTAAAATGAGTTTTTATGAGATATATATGTTAAAAAATATAAATACTTTGGTTATTTATTGGAAATTATCTAAAATGTATTGATATGGTTTGTACATTTATAATAGTATTAAAATTATTTTTCTTTACTTCATTGTGTTTGAAAACTCTTCCAGAACTGCATTTATGTTTGAAATAATTATTGAATATTTGAAACATTATAAATTATATTTTGGGTATTTTATATTTATAATTCTGTTATGTATCAAAATGTATATTATGGTAATTTTCTAAAAAATCCTTATTAAAAAAAAATATGTAAAAAAAAATTAAAAAAATAAAAAATATTTTCAAAATACTTATTTGAAATTGCATACCTATTAAAATATCTTAGAAAAATATACTTTTTCAATTAATATATAAGGGGTGTAGTAGAAGAAAAATGACAATGCGTATGCAAATTTTCAAATAAACATTTTAACTTCGGGTTGATAAAGCAACATTTATGTTTTTTATAAGATTTTTCAATAAAATATATTTACATATAAATTAAACACTTTGCAGTCAAATGTTTCAACAATAATTTATTAGTGATAAAATTACATAACTATATGAAATTGAATAAATAATTCATAACAGTAATAATGATCTCGTATATGTAAATTGAAAGGTGTATAAATTTAGGTATAAAACATCTAATAGATTTTGAGACTAAGGATTTCCGGTATGTTTTATGTATAATATACATTGTATATATAATTTGGAAATTTTTTTTTTTTAAATAAAAATCGTATTTTTTTACTTGTGTGCCTATAATATTATGTTATTTGACTTCATGTATCGCCATCAAAAATATAGACCATGATAATCCATTTGAATTTGAAATATTTAAATATACTCATTAATATTAAAATTGGTATAGTTAAATTTTCACGGCAATTATATGGTTTAACATTGTTCAATATATTTTTTTACTATAGGTGAGTGTCTGTGTGTCTGAATACAATTAATTATGAAAATTTTGACTTTATTTTGTACATCAGATTAAATTAGTTAAACATTTTTCCAATTTTTTTTTTTTTTTTTTATATAATTTAAGGATTTTCAAAATATTTTCTATTCTATTTCATCAAAATTATGTAGTCATTTTTATTTAGAAAGCTTACTACTTTTTTTATTCTTTTATCTACCTGCAATAAATAACGTCTCTTGCAGCACTTGAATATTAATGTTTTCACAGAAAGATTTTCTTCTTCATACACAATACATACTGAACTCAGGTATAATAACATTCAGCGAACTGACCTCGTTGAGGAAAACCGTCTATAGGGACGAATATCATATGTTACATTATACATTTATCAATTTTAACCGACTATACATTGTAATCATAGGATTTACCGTTTATATTAATTATGTATTATGTATATAATTATGTAACTTTTAGAAGTACAAATGTAATTATTGTATTACATTTAATAAGAAATAATTTCCAAAAATCTGTAACATTAGCTGTAATAATTATAATAATTGTTTAGATTGTTTCATATCAACTGTATTTAACATAGTTAATCGTACAGTAAGCTATAGGCGCAATTAGGGTAAAACATCTAGGGGGTCTACAGCTAAAACTTAAAATAACCTGTAGATTATCCCTAGGTACTCTTATATACCATGTTAATATATTTTAGATTCTGAGCAAAGTTGGATTTACTGCAATGTGTCTTTTTTTGTATGTGACACTATTATGAGTTAAGTATACTGTATGTGATATGCCATGTATAACATGGATTATTTATGGGAGGGATAAGTCCCACTAGCCACCCCTCCCTCGTTGCGCCTATGCAGAAAACCCAATAGGACGTTTAAAAACTTATTTGGAAACATAAACATGATTCTTTAAATCGTGCTAAATAATATAATTTGGTTTTCGAAAATTAATTGACAAGATATATAAATTAAATATCAGATATCCATAGTTTTAGAAAGTAGTTGGAAGGTTGGATGTATGAAGCATTGATTATATATTACTAAGTAATATATAATCAATGGTATGAATTAATGCCTATTACTGAGTTAAAGTGGAGCTTGTTAATCATTAGATTAATAATTGGAGGTTGTTTTTTTTTAATAACCACAAATTATTTTTTGGTTTTATAATGGAACTCACGCCATATGCGTGATTTTGTATTTACTGTAGATAATAAAATTTTTATTTAAAATAAATATGTAATAAAATTTATAAAAAATGTATTCTTTAAAACTGGTTTCTGATAAACCTATTATAGGCAAGAATTATTTAAATTAGTGATTTGTATTTGTTTTTATTTTGTTAATATACGTATATTCCAAATTGTTATTTCATAATTATAGTTGAATAATTTATACATTCGTGTAAAATACTGTATTTACGGTTTTTAAATGTCTTAAGAATTTCTTATTGATAAATAAGGTAGAAACGTGATGAATGAATATTAATATTGTGATTGTTTTAAACATATTTTAATTATTATTGCAATTATATTAATAAACCAAGTTGTACATTTTTCTATAATATAGGTCATTATAATTATAATTGTATATAATCAATATAATTTGATAT